TTCCAAACACCATGTGTTAAAATGATAATCTTTTCTCCAACATTTGCTTCTAGCACCTGTGTCAAGAATCATATGACTGTATTTATGTCCATTTGTCTTTGTGTCTTCCAGTTTATTCCATGGGTCTTTGTATCTGTATTTATGCCAATCCCATACCATTTTTGTTATTATAGCTCATAGTATATTTGAGATAAGGTATTATGATGTCTCCAGCCTCACTCCTATTGTTCAGAATTGTTTTGACTATTGTGGGCCTTCTATTCTTCCATATAAATTCTATCATTCTTTTTTTCTAGTTATGTTTGATAGGTATTACATTGAATCTGTAGAATGCTTTTGGTCATATGGCCATTTTGATAATATTAATTCTACTGATCCAAGAACCTGGTAAATTTTTCCATCTTCTAAGATCTTTATCAGTTTTTCTCTTCAGTATTTTCTAATTTTTATTGTAGGATTCGTTCATATCCTTATTCAGATTTATTTATAAAGTTTTTTGAGGCTATTGTGAATAAAGTAGTTTTCCTGATTTTTTTTCTCAGCAGATTCATTATTAAGTAGGAAATTGATTTTTGTATGTTTATCTTGGATCGTACTATTTTGCCGAATGTGTTTATCAGATCTAGAGGTCTTCTGGTGGAGTTTTTTTTTTGATCTGCTAAGTATAAAATAATGCCATCGTTAAACAGATTGTTTGACTTTCTCTTTTCCTATTCATATCCCTTGTTGGAATGAGACTTGTTTACTTGTTTCTTCGTGTTTTAAGAGGTCTTGGACTTGTGCATCTATTGAGATATATTCCTCTTTCTCTTTTGTGTGGATGTCCCTTGGTATGTAGTTATCTTTTTGTAATAAGCCCCATGTTATTGATATCTCTTCACTTCAAAATGAAGGTTCAGGGGGTTCAAGTGTTAGTTTGAACCACCAATACCCCTCAATTTGTCACGGCAGGACTGCTGATTTAACTCACTCTGATTGAGCTGCCATAGCACTGTGGGCTTTTTTGAGTGATCATTTTGGAATATTTCTCATTTTTCTATAGAAGTAGATGGGCAAAAATGAGACCTGACAGATGTCCCTCTCTTGTTTTTTCCAACTTGGGGCCTAGTCATTGATTTGCGGGGGGTTGTCTGCCCCATTCAATGAGTTAAAGCATTGATGAAACTGGAATGAGATCACTCTGTGTCTGGAGGAAGGTGTACTGTCACTCTGCTGAGTTACAGGTGTGGTTCAGCTGAGGAAGCCCTATCTTGTGAATTCATAGTGAACCAGTGACGTCCCAGCCCCTCTCAGAAAAAGGGGAAACAAACAATAGCAGCAATAGTAACAATCAGTACACAGCTTTAGAAGAAATGTCATAGGCCCACTATGGCACATACGCAATTAATTACCACAGAAGGGAATGGCGAGGCAAGCATTTAACAACAGCATCAGCAATGAAAAGCTACTAGCATTAAAGTGCACAGCAGTTTTCAACTCAGCAGTACTAATCACTCCACAACATGAATGGTGGGGCAGGAGTTATATAAACTAGATTATTTTTAAAGGAATTCTATATTCCAAACTGTTCCTAAAGATAATAAAATGAGGTTCACAGAGAGAAGAGAAAATGGGGTGAGAAGAAAAGAAGTTTTAAAATATTCAAAAGGCAAACAAGTAAAGCAGGAAAAGAGAGAGCATGTGGTGGCTATAAAAAAGGAGGAGTAAAAAAATAACTAAAAAAAATAAATAACAAGAAAGCTAAAGAGAACAAGCAAATTTGATAACTGAAGGGAGAAGAGAGAAAAACGCAGTAAGAGAAACAAAAACAAGAGCTAAAACAAACAAAGCAAAATGTCAGACCAAAACAAATAAAAACCCCTTTTCCTCTAACGTTAAAGCAAGGCAAAATGACAGAAGAATAAGGAAAGAGAAGAAGAAAAATGATAAAAAAAAAATAAATGAATTTATGTTTGCATATGAATGTGCCAGTCAGCACAACCAGAACACACACACTCCCATTTATTCTCAGTGGAAAAAAGAAGAAAAAAGAAAAAAAAAATCCTAATGCCAAATCGTCTTCACTGAGGAGATCAAAACTGTCCATAAGGACCGGTTTCACTGCCTGCACCTCACTGTCCTTTTCTCCGTTTCCTCTCAGGCTGTGTTAAAACTTAGGAAGGACAGGGCTGGGGGATGTCAAACTGTTTTGTTTGTTTGTTTGTTTGTTTGTTTGTTTTTGTTTTTTAGTTGCTCACTAAGCTGTCTGCTAGATTGGCCAGGACCTGAGGCTGGTTGTAATAACTCTCAGTTTCCTTTCTTGCCAATTTGTTAGGATAGAATAGAGAATGGTGAAAACTGGAGTTCTGACCACATAACGAGGTGGATAACCTCCTGGATGGACTGATGCAGAGTTCTAAATGTGACGTGCAGGCAGCTGGCATTTAGTTCTGACCTTTCAAACTATGTCCTAAACTATGTCCTATGTATAAACTATGTCCTATGTAACTGCTCTAGAGAAAATACTTCCCACCCACGCTTCTGCTGAGCAGATGCCAATCTGTGCTGGGCATCCAATCTCTGGAGGGGTCTCTGGGAGAAATCCACGATTGGGGCAAAGTGGCCAACTGGATCTCTGCTGGTCAAGCATAACCCCACTGCCCATAAATGCCATCTTCCCAGGATCAGATACAGAGTTCAAATATATTCACCTGTTCACTTTCTTCCCAGCTAGTTTTGCGATCCACCAAACCAAAAGGGAAAGCTAGCCATACCTACCACTCCATAGCCCCCGCCTGAGTCCCCTTGGCTGCAATCCCTTCTGTGCCTATCTCAGTTGGGCTCTGCCAGGTGGACTGCAGATCTAATGGCAAGCACATGCAGGGATAGTCGGCTGATGCTTGTTATGAATCCCTAGGCTCCCCCAGCAGAAAGCTGCTGTGGCCAATTTAATATGGCATCCCTCCTCAGCTCTCTGCCCTCCCTGGAGGAGCAGGGAGCACTCTTCATATACCAGCTCGCCACACTGCTTCTGGGTCACTCAAGTTCAAACTGCCCCCCCTGTTCCTTGAGTTCTCCATATGAAATTTTCTTTGCAAATTCAATCTTTCTGATAAGGTTGTCCAACTCCTCTGCAGTGAACTAGCACCACAGTGCTATCAGCTAGTTTCCCAAGATATTCTTTTTAATCCTATATTCAAAGCATCCAAATCTCTGTGTGTCTGTGATTTTAATATTTAATTCTGGTGTGTTCCCTCTGAAAACCTTCTCACTGAAAAGCAGTGTTCCCACTGGATCCTGAGCCTCTCCTCTTGCCATCTTTCCCCACGGCGAGAGAACAGGTCTATGGCTCATTTGTGACAAAAGACTGCTGGGCTACCTGCTTTGTCCCAGAGACGCCACGACCCTGGAGATCATCCTTCCTATCAGTGTTTGCTGGGGCACGGAATGCTGGTTTGCTTCCATGGGTCACGTGTGTGTCACAAGTGGGAGCCTTCTCTAACCTGTTCAAGTAGGCATGTGGAGGAATAAGGGCTCCAGAAGAAAATCAAAGTGTGAGGAGTATTGAGAAAAGATTTGCCAGCAATCAGTGTGGGAAAGTGGAATATGTTCACCCAAATGAAGGGAACCACAGATGGAACAGTTAACCATCAAATATTATCAAGACTTCCACACCTCTGCCCCTTCCCCTTGCATTTCTGATCCCCTTTACATTTCTCTACTTTAATTTCTTAGCATTTATTTTCTTACATACCATATGTTTGTTTAGCATATTAAATATCTTTATTTATTGTGTAAGCTGTATGCTAAATGGGGACAGAGTTCCTCATATCTATGGTTTACAGATGAACAGAACTGTACTTGGGTCACGATAGGAGCTAAAGAAATATTTGCTGAATTTGAGTAGGGATTGAATTGGGATCAACAAAGAGCAATAGAACCATTCCTGAAAGTAGGCATTAAACACCTTCCCAGAGAGCTACAGGGTGGGGGCCTCATGACCTAACACCAGTCCGGTGAGACATTGCCTGCTCCAACATCCCCTTCTTTCCCTCCCACACACTGACCTATAATTCTGTAGAGGCCAAAAGCAGTGTAGTCAGTGGAAAATTAGAAATCAAAAAAGAGAAAGGGTTAGTAGAAGACACTGAACCGCCCTCACCCCCTTACCAATACAAGGAGCTTACCCAGGGAACATCTGAGCTGAAAGGGAATGAAGCCTTAATTGTAAATAGATTTTAGAATTTATCACTGAACTACATTGGTCTGAAAATATTAAAACGCTGGATGGTTTCAGAACTAGAAATAACCGGGGGAATGTTTAGTTACATCGAGCCAACCTGAAAAATCACAGAGGCTGCCAAGGATTTTATTTAAATGCATTGAGGGCTTTGAATGGACAGTTTTCTAATTACATTTCACAAGCTTGGCTTATTTCAGGCTAGACACATTGGTATGTTGAAAGCACTCCTTTTCTTCTTCTTACTTGCAATACTTCACTTTCTGCCAAAATTCTGAGTATCCTTTGGGATGGATATATTTGTAACTGTTTCTTCTACCATTGCCAGTTCAGGTCAAGGGTCTTCATCCTATAGCCTCCATTTTCTAACATATAATGAAGTACATAACACATGGTAAGCATTAAACATTTGATAAGCTCTAGGGGTAGCAGGAAGAATAAACCATTCATTTTAAAGTGTATATGAGTCATATTAGGTAAGTAAAGTGCATGCATGTTTATTTAGTAAAAAGTTCAATCCATTTTTCTTGGATGAATGAGTGATTGAATTAATTAATTAAGGCTAGCATACGTGAATGTGGGAATAATTAGTTACACATATGTAGCAGGCAAGGTAAAAAGAGAAAGCACATTTCCTCTTGTCCCCTCTCTACCTAGCAATAAATATATACAATAGAATTTATTTTAACGTATTTTTTTAAAAAGAGACAACATAATTTGGTTTATTTCATGTCAATAAAATGGATCTCCCCTTCTCCCCTATCTTTGTTTCTATTTCTAGGTGATTCTTGTGTTTGTACTAAGCATCGGCTCTCTTATAATCTATTTCATCAATTCTACTGAGTGAGTAAAAATCGTGTTACTCTTGTCTTCTACATCAATAACTTATTCATCTACTCTAGAATTTTCTCCTTAGGAATAAGGTTTAATATGTTTTCACACAACAAACATGTGCACACACTCACCAAGCTCATAAAAAAATGGCAAATGCTTAATTGCCCAAGCAAGCATGAACCCAGTTCTGCACACACACAATAAAATAAAATAAAATAAAAAAAGAAAGAAAGACAAACTAAAGAAAAAAAAAGTGTGAGTTTGCCCTGCATCCTGCCATCCTACATTATTAGAAGAAATTGGTATGCACAGATAACCTTAGAGTCTTTGGCATACCAAGCCTCTAGCTGTCTCTCCTCACTTAATTAACTTAATGAAAGCTTTTGAATTCCTCAGGTGTTGAAACAAAGGTCCTGTAGTAGTTTCAGAGTTTCTCAGAGATTTCAGAGAACTTTGAATGGTTTTGAGTAAGGAACATGTTAGATCTCACCTTGTCCTCTGAAGGCACTCCTTTCTTACATTAGGATAGATTATTTTTTGAACTCAAGCCAACCTAATCTTGAACTCTATGACATTCACCTGGGAATTATATCAAATTTTTAGCCGAGATAAAATTAGGATTTGCAGGCCCATAATGTTAGGCAACTTTACAGAACCTAGGGAGGGTGGTAGTCTTTGCTTTGTAAAATTCCAAGCAGATCTTTTAGGAAATTTTCTTTGAATTTGGTTCAGTTTAGCCCACTTGACAAAGAATAGCTCTGTATCAAATTCTGGAATCTTGCAAATTCTATCAAATGTCCCGACTAGATAGATAGTCTTGCAAACCAAGAAGAGTCACATTATCTTTATGGCTCTGAATACCAATGAGAAAATTGAAATGAAACCAATAAAGCCTATGACAGAAATAGAGGGTAATTTTCCTGTTATTGTTAGCTCCATGGGTGGTCCAATGGTTTTGTTTATGCATAGCTGTACTCCCAGGAGAAAGGTAATTTTCTTCAGATCTGAACTTAACTGACCATTCATGATGAATAAAGAGAAAATTGCCTATCCTCTCCTTTTATTTGTCCTTTATAGTTATAGCTGTTTTAAATGTTCACCTTTACAAACTGCCCTCATTTCTTTGCCAGCCCTGTTGGAAGCTGTTCTTCATATGAAGACAAAACAATCCCTGTGGATTTGATTTTCAATGCTTTCTTCAGTTTCTATTTTGGGTTGAGAGTAAGTACCAGTGGGAAATGTGGGTAGACACACAAACACAACAGGAACAACTTGAAGAGACCTGCCTGTGCCTTAGTTACACAATCTGCACAAGTTTTTCAGGCTGGAAAGATGAAGGGTCTGTTCTCTACATTGTTAAACATATAATAAGGCCTTAATCTTCTCTCTCCTGCACTTGAAACTGTAAGCCAGGTCCAAAATTCCAACACAAGTAAAAACAATTCCTTTATTAAGTACCATCACCCTGTCACAATGTCCTCCTTTCTCACCTACCACTAGGAAAGCTCTATTAATAATCACAAGCTAGCAGAGCTTGATCAAATCTCCAGAAGATGCCATTGTTTGACTAATGGTATGTGTGCAATATGGCAATGTAAAATACTATTGTATTGTAGTTTCACTTATGTTACACACATTTATGAAGCAATTCTTTTATTCCATAGACATTTAGTAAGTACTCATTCTAGTTTTTAATGTATTTATTCATTCCATAATTATGGGAGACTATATACATATACCTTTATATGTACATACAGTATAAAATCAAATATTTTATCCACATTTTATCCATATGAGCATATTGTTTATGCAAGTGTATATACACATATATAAGATGTGAATTTTTACTACCTTCCTATAAATCTCACTCTCGCCACACTTTTCATCAAAATCTTCTGTTATAGCAGACTCTCCCTCTGGAAATCTAGTTTTCTTAATCTAAATAGCAAAGTTCATAAATATAGGCATGGTCAACCAAGGTTCTAGGAAGCTATACCTTTTTCATTGTATATCATCCTAAATCATATATCTTCATATCACACAATGGGGGTTTTATTTATGTAATTTCATTATCAGAAAACTCTAGGAGCAGTAAAAAGGTGAAAATGCTTATACTGAAATGTGAGAATTAAGATTCAGTAAGTAAAATGCATATATGTTTATTTATTTAACACCCACTAAAAGTGCAATATCTGCATCTATGTAAATATATGTACATTTATAATAACTACTATAAGATATATTTATATAGATGCAAAGTTGTTATAGATGCACATATATTTGTTGTGTTTGCACATGTATAAGATAGAACAAGAACAAAGCTTCAGTTGATGAATGAAATGCAGTTGGATAATGTCATCTCTCCTGTTCACTTTAAAATTCCTGAGCATGACAGAATTTTGAATTTTTTTTCCATTTGATAGTTTTTGGCAGCTGATGACAAGATCAAGTTCTGGTTGGAGATGAATTCCATTGTAGACATTTTCACCATCCCACCAACATTTATTTCTTATTACTTGAAGAGTAATTGGCTAGGTAAGTATGCTGTTAGAATCATCTATAAGTGTTTATCTTTCATTTTCTTTGAATCCTGACTGTTATTTTAAAAATTCCTCTCCCTAATCATGTGGTTTTAGGTGGTGTTTACAGAAATCTACTTTTGGCCTCAACACCTAGCAGTGTACCTGGTATACAGTAAGCATTCCATTGTTGTTGATGGAATGACCACAGCCACAATCTGAGAGGAAAAGATCAAGAATTCCATTCTCCTGTGGCATTGTTGTGTGGGGATCCCACATGCACTGGGATAAAAAGCCTCCCTTAGTTTTCAAAAGCTAATCATCATACCTACACATGCTGCAACATGTTTGGGAATTACTTAATGAGTTGTTTTGCCTTTAAAGTAGATACATTGACAGAGCATTTGTAGTATGTAGCTTTAATTGCTTTTCATGTAATCTTATATTTTTATTTCTTATCTATAAACATATACCAGTTTCCTTGCTACCATTATTAGAAAGCTGCATGAAATAAAACATCTGACAAATATTGAAGAGTTTATAGAAATTGGATAGTCAAGAGTGTAAGTGCTTGATGAAAATTTGCTCCCAGTTCAAAAGAAGAGAGTAAAATGAACAGTGCTCATTATTTGGAAGGCATGCTTTAACATGCTTTCTATTAACTCTACAACTATATAAAGTAGATATTATTAGAATTTCCAATTTAGAGATGAGGAACTATAGAAGTTAGAGAATTGTCTGGGGTGACATTGGCTAGTAAGTGTCAGAACCAGGATTTGAACTGCAGCTCATGTTCTTACCCTCTTAACACTACACATTTAGACATTTAGACATTTCAGGGAGGGAAAGAATGCATGTAATTCCAGTCGTGTTATCATTGAGGCTGCTCCCTGGGGGGATCCTCTTCATTTGGAATCTTTCTCCTTTTGATTGCTCTGTAGGTTTAAGGTTTCTAAGAGCTTTGCGGCTACTGGAACTCCCTCGAATCTTGCAAATTCTACAAGCCATCAAGACAAGGTAAATGCTAGCTTTGTCTGGCTGTACTGCTTGTTTAGTAGTTTGGATTAGAAGGAAAATGTTAACTGGACCTCAGGCTCCACTCAATTCCCAACAGAATTTCAGTGTAAAAATCATGAAGTCCCTCAGTATTCATATTATTTATTCATTTTCTCCCATCATGGTACACTGGCCCCAAACTTTGTGATCGTTTTAAAGAGACTGTGTTTTTTTGTTTTTTTGTAAATTCCAGTTGACTTCTTGTTCTAGGTCCCTCCACCAAAAAATAAACAATAATTCAAAGGCTTTGGCTCTACACATTTTTTTAAAAATGAATCATGTTTCTCCTTGCCAAGTAAAATAAGAAGCATTTTTTTTCAAGTTTAGGAGTGTAACAGTTCCTCTGTATGTGAGAGTTGTCCATTTGCATCAGTTAACTACGCTTGCAGAAATAAAGTCATGGCACACTAGGTAAAATTTTACCTAGATGCATGGTTTGATCCCCAACCTTGGGAAAAAGAAAAAAAAGAAGAAGACCTACCTACATATCTTCAAAAAACAACAAAATCCAAACAACTTTGAGCAGCAATACATCTAAAATTTAAAGCAGTTTGGTCTGTTAACTACTCAAAATCTACTCACCCCTATATTTTCTACATTTTCACTAGAAAAAATCAAGTATTACAAGCCAGGTGCATTTCATTGCTAAGAGTTTGTGCATTGTGGAGAAGTCGGGGAAGGAAAGGCTATTCTTGTGTGACAAATGGTGCTGCCTGAAAATCACAGAGTTTTCAGCTAAACTCTTGGGCCTTCCTGGGGTGACAGGAGGATCTCTGACCCTCTTCCCTCCAGGATTCTGCTCTGAGTTCAGCAATCTCAGGGACTCTACATTTCTGTGATTTACTCAAAATTTCATTTTGCAAGCCCACTCCCTGGATTGCTGGGTATATGCATTTTGTACTTTTACTTTAGACAACATAATAATCTAGTAGATTGATCTTATGATGATCCTCAAGCTGTGTATTTTTTAAAGGCTACATAATAGAAGGCTAATAGATGTTACAGCAAAATTCACAATTTGAAATAAATAGGACCAGTTGAGTTAGAGAGCCGGGTTTTCCAGACTCTACCATGTATGAATCAAGCAAAGAATCTTGTAGTAATGCTGATTAGTAGCTAAGGGTGGGGCTTGGAAGTCTGTATTTGTCATACCTTCCCCTGGGAATGTCATTATTTCAGGTGTATGATTCAAATCTTGAATAGAAAGCAAAATCTAAAAGGATGAGGTTTTCTTGTTATTTTGGAGCCTGTTTGAGGAGACCCAACAGCTCTTTGTCTTTCTTTCTCTAGTAACTCAGTGAAGTTTTCCAAACTGTTATCAATAGCTCTCAGTACCTGGTTCACGGCAGCAGGATTCATTCACCTGGTAAGCATTGCATCAGGATGCCTAACAGTGTGCCTGTCAATGTCAGCAACCTTTCTTCAAAAAACTGAATAGGAATCTGCATAGAACAGAGGGTTAACTTTTTACTACCCCTATGTAGGGCTGTTTCTCACCTTCATATCTCAAATATGTGTCTCTCATGATCACACCTTGATAATCTGCTCTTAGGGAAAGAAATAATAAAGTCTGAAGTTATGCATAATATGTAAAATTTATTGCTAAATTTCATGGAGATCTAGGGATTCTCAAATTATATATATATA